ATATGTGTGTGTGTGGGGTATCCCACCCCCAATAATAATTCAAAAGTAGCCACGATATGGCTAAACAACATGATTATTTATAAAAGAAAATTAAGAAGCCAATTTGTATATAAATTACTTTTTGTTAAAAAGTTTTCTCCAATTGTCCTATTTTTTTCATTTAGTCTATCAACAATGACTTTGAATTCGTCAAACTTGTCACCTTCTAATTAATACTCTTCGAGTCAATCGTATCATCTAAAAAAAGAAAAAAAAAACATTAATAAAAGTAAAAACACAACAATTTTAATCCAAGATTTTGATCTGAAGTCGCTCTTTCACGTTAGTGATACATTTTGTTCTGTTTGATCTTATTAACAAAAACCAACGATTTGTGCTTAAAAACAATGGTTTTTTTTTTTTTCTAACGAAAAAACCGAATATAGTGATTAGAAAACTGTTACCCTGTTTAGAATTCTAATAACTCCTCTCCTCTCGTAAATACATTGAACCAAAACTGCATGTCATCATTCATGCTTGACGTGTATTTGTAACCTGCTTCCATCACCGTTAACTCACCGGAGTTTTCACCTGAGAAAATCTCTGACCAGAAGTCATTATCCATTTCTTGTAAACTTCCCAAAACTTGCATGTCACCTTTATCCATGGTGATAACCGAAGAAATCTCACAGTAAGAGTGTTTAGGAGAATTGAGTTGACTGTCACTAGTCTGGTCATGAACATTATCAGAATTAATATCTGATGATTTTATAGAGGAGGACGTCGGTGATAACTCAATGTACTCTTCTAATTTGATCTTTTGTTGCTGAAAATTTGAGGCCTGACATCGGTTCTCAGCCTCATGCACTCTCTTCTTTAAGTGAGTGTGCCAAACATTTTTAATCTCGTTATCTGTACGTCCCGGTAATTGTGCTGCAATTGCTGACCATCTGTAATTCCGATTAAAAACTCATATTATTTCCAAAAATCGATCCGTTATATCTTGAAATCCAACGCCATAGAGATTTACATATATGTTTGTAATATACAATATGGATTATCCGTATACATAGTTATAGTAGCATGTTAACAGAAAGTTTAATTAATATATATTAAGTACTCTTGATATAGAACAAACCTATTTCCTATGGCTTCATGCAATTGTATGATGGTTTGTTCTTCTTCTCTAGTAAAGTTACCCCTTTTAATATCTGGATTGAGATAATTAGTCCATCTAAGCCTGCAACTTTTCCCGCATCTTAACAAACCTATATATAAAAAGAACATAAAAGATATGATTAATTTATGAAATCACGATCTTAACATTTGATATGGTGATCAAAGTCAAACTAGATTAAAGAACATATGGAGTTCAAAACGGAAACCAACCAGCTAGTTTAGGGAGAGCGCGCCAGTTGTCATGACCATACTTTTTAATGTAGTCGATGAGGATCTGATCTTCTTCGTGTGTCCATGGGCCTTTCTTCAACCCCATCCTCTCGCAACACGGGGATCTAACCATTTATACACTTGAAATATATTATACTCGATGAGATTTTTGAGTGTTTTCTTAGAATTGTCTGTATGCAGAATAACAAAGAAGATAGTGTGTGTGATAGATCAAAGGGGGGAAGCGTGAATGGTTTATATAAGGGTACGGACCAAAAAAGGACAGATTATAAAGATATGTTCAATTTAAAAGTGATATTTTGGAAATGACTAAACGTTGATCTAATTTTTCTTTTTCCTTATATTAAAGAAACCTGTGTCAACTGCTCAAATTGTGTGTTCGATTTTTCCAGTGCCTCGTTATATAAATAAAAAACACCAGAACATATATTCAAAATGAACAAATAACACGTGGGGATAAAGGATTGTTTATTTTCTCTTATTAATTATCATTTATATTTTTGGTATTTTGTATCGGAAGGTCAAAACCAAGTGTGAACACATCCGTGCATAGCGGCTACGCCGGTTGCATGATTGCATTGCATTATGTGTTTGAAACTACCTACTAGCACTTGTGAC